TTTATTTTATGAGAAAGAGGGACATTTCTCTAAGGAACAAAAAAATCTTGACTCAACATTTTATTTGAAGTTGAATGGAAGTTAGCTGATGTCCTTGACCTAATTTGTATGACTGGGAATCTTTCCCTAGACATTTCTTGTTAATATATCTCATGGTTCCCTCCAAACCGGGAAGGGAATAGGACCAAATTCTGACTAGTTATTGTAGTTCCTGCTATCTAGAAAGTCAAAGACTAAGAACTGGAAAACTAAGACTTTACCAATCAGCCAAGTCGTGGGTTACTACCTCTGGCTAATCACCAGAATTGCCCAGGGAGGTTTTTTTTGTTGTTGTTGTTGTTGTTGTTTTTAAGAAAAATTTCAAGCAAACAAAAAAACACAGAACAGCATAATGAATCCTCACATGCCAGCCAGTTTCAACAATGGTCAACTCGTGGTCAATTAAATGTACCTCCACCTACTGCCTCTTCCCTAGATATATGAAGCAAATTCCCTACATTAGATCATTCCAACTGTCAATATTTCAGCATGTGTCTCCAAATGATAAATTTTTTTTTTGTCAACACAAAACAAGAATACCATTAGCACATCTAAAAAAATTATACTAAATTCTTTTTTTGTTGCTGCTGTGGTAAAAACAACACAAGGTCTACCTTTGGTCAAATTTTAAATGTACAATACAGCATTGTTGATGAGGTACAATATTATACAGCAGATCTCTAGAATTCAATTATCTTGAAGAACTGAAATTCTGCAGTTAAACAGCAACTTCAGCCACTCGTAGTGGCGCATGCCTATAATCCTAGTGGCTTGGGAGGCTGAGGCAGGAGGATCGCAAGTTCAAAGCCAGCCTGAGCAATTTAGCGAGGCTCTAAGCAACTCGGTGAGACCCTGTCTCTAAATAAAATGCAAAATGGGGCTGGGAATGTGGCTCAGTGGTCGAGTGCCCCTGAGTTCAATCCCTGGTACAAAGAAAAAAAACACAGCAACTTCCCATTTACCCTTTCCCCTAGCCCCTGGCAACTTCCATTCTCTCTGCTTCTATGTGTTTGAATATTTTTGATATTTCATATAAGTGGAATCATACAATATTCATCTTTCTGCGACTGGCTTATTTCATTTAGCATGATGTTCTCAGGGCTGTCGGATATGGAGGATTTCCTTCTTTTTTAAGGTTGAATAATATTTTGTTGTATGTATATACCAAGCTTTCTTTATCCATTCATCTCACAGTAAATGTTTGAGTTATTGTGACATCTTGGTTATTGTGAACTGTTGTAATGAATTTTGGGAGTGCAAATATGTCTCAGAGGTGTTGATTTCAATGTTTTTGGCTAAGTACCCAGAAATGAGATTACTAGATCATACGGTAGTTCTATTTTTAATTTTTAAAAGAAAACTCCATTTGCAAAGGAACCATATTGTTTTCCATAGCAACTACACCATTTTGCATTCTAAGCAACAATGTGTGAGTTTCCATTTCTCCTACGTCTTTTGTTTTTTATAATAGTTATCCCAGCCTATGTGAGGTGACATCCCTTTGTGGTTTTGACTTTCTCTGATTAGTGATGTTGACAATCAATTCATATACCTGCTGCTCATTAGTAATTTCTTGAAAGGAAACCAGGGGAAACCCTGAAAACACCTTTAGCTTCGCTTGCTTTAAAAATCACTAAGGCTGGGGATATAGCTGAGAGGTATGGCACTTGCTGAGCAAGGCCTTGGGTTTGATCCCCATCATGGCAAAAAAGAAAAAGAAAAAGTAAAGCTTCTGGGCACCCCTCCAGATTTGCTAAGCCATGATCTTTGTGGCTTGACAAACTCTGTGGGTTGGATGGTTCTTCCATAGCAAGCTGTGGACCGTGGACCACAACTCCCAGTGCTGGTCCCGGATCCTTCTTCCCAGAGGATATCACAGTTGGGTGTATATTTCCATACTGTTTTCTGTGCTTTGACATTCATCCTTAAGCCATGCCCCATAGTCGTCTCCCTGGAGATTCCAAGCTTTTGAAATTTGTTTTCCATTTTCCTTAATTGCCCTGTGAAATTTTGAAAATGTCTCTTTGGCCTTGAAGGTTTTTTCCTTCTCCAACCTAATGTCTCCTCTTTCCCCAGCTTTGACAAGGTCATAGTCTTGTCAAGGCTCAGGCCTGTCTTTCTGTGCCCTGAAATCTTGAACAGGACTGAATTTGTCCCAAACCTCCTGGTTCCTGGGGCCCACAGGCATGTAAATTGGAGGAAGTATAGGTGTAAATGAAGCCATGATGTGATATAATTAAAGCTGGGGCGGGGGAGGACATGGGAAGGGAAGTGTATACTATTCTGTCTACTTTAGCATATGTTTATATTTTCCATCACAAAAAAAAAAAATTAGAGGAGAAACAATCATTAGAGTGCGTGGGATGAATCAAGCCCTGTGCCATATAGCATGGGCGATAAAGCAAATGAAGAATAAAGGCTATTCACTCTTCAGAAAGGATTTTTTTTTAAAAAAGCAAACCAGGATCTTTCAGATTAATGAGGCCCTAGGCTGCTGCCTGTAACCAGGCTCAGAAAGAGAGCCTAACTTCCCCAGAATTATACACCCTTGGCCTCCTTCCCAGGTTATTACCAGTGTAGTCAAATCATTTGTGGGGCAACCGCTCAGTGCCAAGGTCAGGATTTAATGGGCTCCGCAGCTACATGCTACAATTGATACATCAGTCTTTCTCCTGAGAAACTTATTATTTATTTTTCATTACTTATAGTGATTATTTCATTGATAATAATCATATCAATTATTTTTTTTTAAATCTCAGGTATAGAAGCATACCAACACTGTGCTGCTTTCTAGAGGAAGCAAAAATAACCAGATGAATTATACTTCCTTGCACAGATCTATTAGTGATGACCTCATATTTTTCTAATTTGTCTTTCTCTTTTTGTTTCACTCTCTCTTCAATGATACAAGTGGCCGAGCAGTGTTGCTCATTATTTACATGCAAACCAGGACTCTGGGGTTATAGTCATCTATTCTCGAGAGGAAATGAGGTCGATGTTCTCTTTTGCCAGCTGCATATATTATTGACCTGGTGGCCCTCCCAATCCTAAGGCCTCCTGGTCTGCCCTCCCTGTAGATGTACCCAAGCATCGTAGCTACATATACCATATATCATCATAATGTAAAAACAACCTCAGGGTCTGAAGAATTACTTCCCTTGGTTCCCTCAAGTCCCTCTGAACTATGCTGTGCCTGTGATGAGGGTCTTGAGCCCGGCTCCAGCAGGCAGAGAGTTCCTAACTCAGCACAGAAGGAGCAGTGAGAGGCTAAGGCAAAGCAAAGAGAATACCGATTTACAAAGCACAAAACTAAGCCTCTAAAATTTGAATAACCAAGAAACCCAGAGGGGAACAATCTGCCCTCTAGCCACTTTTAGGGCCTGCACAATTTTTTCTTCTTTTAAATATTTCAAGTAACATAGGAGGTATCTCCTCATGTGCTTGTTCAATATGATTTTCTTCTTTCCCCCAGTGAAGATCTTTTTTTGATTTTTTAAAATTATGAGATAACACATGATCTTAAGAAATTAAAAAAAAAAATACAAGTAGAAAAAAACTTAAATCCAGAGTTCTATGTGCTCAGAGAAAAGGCATTGTCACCCTTCCTATGGAGATCCTTCAAAATCCCTTTATTCCATTCATTTATTCATGTAACCGAGGTGTTTTGAGCTACTAATATGTGCCAGGAGCCTTGTGGTGTTACACACAAAGTTATCAAAAATAATAAAAGAGATCAACCAAGTGGAGATAGAGAATTAAATTAACAATTATACTCAAAGTTTTTCTACATATATAGCCATCCATACATGTAGATATATTTTTAACCAAAAGTGGAATAATATCATAAATGCTATTAATCTAATTTTGGGGCCAAATGTATTGATAAAATATTTTCATGTCAATAGATTCATTATAGAACAAAAGAAGACATTCTAGAACTAAACCTAATAAGAATTGTGCAAAACCTACATGAAGAAAAGCAAATTTTTTTGCCAGAGATAATTAAAATAAAAACTTATAAAAATCAAGACATAAATCATATGCCATGACTCGTTGCTGTCAAAATATGATTCTCTACAAATTAATCTATATATTTGATGCAACCCCAACCAAATCCACATAGAATTTATTATGAATTTGTTAATATTCTCGAGTTCCTCCAGAAGAGTAAATGCCAAGAATAAAAAATTTGTATAAAGAGCTATTGGGAGTACTTTGCCTGAAGATACCAAAATGTAGTTTAAGACATCAGCAGTCAAACAACATAGTATTGACACAATGCTATGAGAGATCAGTGGAATAGAACAAAAATTCTAGAAACAACCCTTAATTAAAATCTAGTTTAAGTATGGCATTTCAAATTAAAAAGGAAGTAGTGGAGTATTTGATAAACACTGTTGGAATAATTACCTATTGTTTTGGGAAAGAATCTTATACTTAACTCAAAATAATAACCCAAAAATAGGACTCAGGGTATAGCTCAGTGGTAAAGCACTTGTGCATGAGGCCCTGGGTTGGATTCCTAGCACCACAAAAACAAAAACAAATGTCGGATGATATATAGACCCAAAACAATAAAAAAATTATAAATATAACAGAAGACAATATGATAGATTTTAGTAGTTTTTGAATGGGAAATATTCTTAGGCAAATATAGAGCTATAAAGAAAAATATTACCTTGCAAATATATTAAGCTTCTCTTTAGTAAAAGATACTGAAAAAAAAAAGCTTTTTAAAAATTTTCAGAATTAAACAAAATATTTGCAATACTTTTAACAGATAAAAAATTAACATTGAGCCATTATATAAAAGAAATCTCCTCCAAATAATCAGACAAATACTTATAATAAAAGGGAACAAAGAACATGAAGGAGAAAATTCAGAGAAAAAATAAATAAATGACAAATCCATATATGGAAAAGTATTCAGTCTCTAGTGCTCAAAGAAATGCAAATTTAAATAGATATTATATTTCATTTATTAGATTGATAATCAAATATTTTAATATTCGGTGTTGGAAGATAGGAGGAAAAATAAATGCTTATAAACTGATGATAAGAACGTGAATCGGCATAGCTTTGGTGAGCATAATTGAGTAATATGTTTTCAAAGTTTAAGAGTACAACTCTTTGATGCAATTCTTCTAGAAATAGATCTTATAGAAATGTTTTTTAAAATGAACCAAACTTTTCTTGGAATAATTCAATTTGTCTATCTGTAGGGAGTTGGTTAAATAAAATGTATAAACTCTATCAATTTGCTATATAAACCCATGAGCTCTATCAGTTAGTCATATACAGCTGCTTAAAAAACTATCCCCAAACCCCATCATCTCTTCCTATTCCTGGTCTGCAGGTTGGCTGTGAGTTGGTTCATCCAGGCTATGTTCTATGGGGCTTCCAGCTTCAGGTCCAGTTGGACTGGTCTTTTGTGTTGGTTTCTGGTTGCTCCACAGGTGTTTCCATATTTAGTTCTTTGAAGAGATAAGTACAATTGATAAACAGTAGGCAAACTGATGAAAACTACAAGAGAAAAAAATGGACAAATTCCTTGAAAAATATAACTTGCCAAGATTTATATATGATGCAATAAGTTCTAAGAACTCCTACATATTTATTAATGAAACTGAACTGGTAGTTAAAAACACTCCAACAGAGAGAACTCCAGGCTCAAACGACTGCATTGGTGAATCCTATTATACTTTAAGGAAGAGAGAGCAATAATATTATATAACCCTTCCACCAAATACACATACAACCAGCAAAATCTAACACCAAAATCCAACAAAACATTTAGAAATCAATCTAATTAACCATGTTAACAGAATAAAGCAGAAAGACCAGCTCAATAAATGAAGAAAGCATTTGACAAATTCTAACATTTTTTTTTTTAGTATAAAACAAACAAAAACTTTAGCATACTATATAGAATTAGAGAGGGGACCTTCCTCAATCTGAACAAAGGTACCTTCAAAAAGCCTACAGTTGGGGGCTGGGGTTGTGGCTCAGTGGTAGAGCACTTGCCTAGCATGTGTGAGGCATTGGGTTTGAGTCTCAGCACTGCAAATAAATAAATGAATAAAATAAAGGTCCATCAACAACTAGAAAAAAAAATAATAATTTTTAAAAAGCCTACAGTTAAAACCATTCTAGCCTGGTGTGGTGGCACATGCCCATAATCTCAGCAATCTGGGAGGCTGAGGCAAAAGGATCTCAAGTTTGAAGCCAGCCTCGGCAATATAGCAAGACCCTAAACAACTTAGCAAGACCCGGTCTCAAAATAAAAGTAAAAAGAGCTGGAGATGTGGCTCAGTGGTTAAGCTCCCTTGGATTCAATCCACAGCACAAAACAAACAAACAAAAAACCAAAACACCCACCACCAACAACAAAAACATTGTTAATGATGAAATAAATAAACATTTTTCCCCCAAGATCTGAGACAAGTTGAGAATGCTTGCTCCTGATACTTATTTAATATAGTCCTGGAAGTTTTAGCCATTGCAATAAATCAGAAAATAAATAAAAATATAGTAAAGTAAAATAAAATGCAATAAAAATAAAATATGAATTACCTAAGTATTGGAAAGGAGGAATCTCTTTGAAATTATATGACTGTTTACATTTAAAAGTTTAAATAATCTAAAGAATAATCATTAGGACTAATGAGGGAATTTAACAAAGTGGAAACATACATGGATAATATATGAAAATTAAGTATATTTTCAAATACTAGAAGCAAAATATAGAAAATAAAATTTTAAAAAATATTTAAAGCAGCATCAGCAAGCATAAAACGGTTTAGTCTGAACAAAATATGTGCAAGTCTTCTACAATGAAAGCTGCAGAATATTGCTGAGAGAAATTAAAGACCTAAGTAAACCAGAGAAATATACCATATTTATGGACTGGAATTTCACTATTGTTGAAATGTTAATTCTCCCAGATTTATCTATGGATTAAAAGCAACCCCAGTAAAAATTCTAGTGGGTTTTTTTTTTCATAGTAATTGACAAGTTAATTCTAAAGCATATGTGGAAAAACAAATGAGCTGCAATAGTTAAAGCAATAAAAAAATAAAAGGAAACAAAATGAACAAGGAATGAATGAACTTGAAAATGGAAGTCTCCCTCTAGTACTTCTAGATAAGAATCGAGACTTTGATTTCAGCCTTATGAAATGCTTAAGTAAATGACCCAGTTGATCCACACTACATCCAGAATTCTGACCTTCAGAACTGTGAGATAATAAATAGGTATCATACATAAATGTTCATTGTTTTTTTTCACAACTAGTCAAAAATTGCAAATGACATAAGTCCCCAAACAATCAGTGACCTGATAAATATATTAGGAAGTATGGTATATCCAAAGACATAGAAGGTCTTTTTCTATGGTATATCCATACTTCCTAATATCTATGAGTGAACCAAGTGGATAAATATCAGAATAATGAGGCTGAGTGTAAGATTCCAGGCCTTCAAGAATGTGTAATTCCACTTATATAAAATCTACAAAGCACAAACGAATCTCTAGCAACAGAAAACAGATCAAGGACTGCTGTAGCCAGGGGCAGAGGGAGGGAGGGAGAGGGACTGCAGAGGGACACGAGGATGTTTGGGGGACGATGGGAATGCTCTGTACCTCAATTGGGCTCCTTTCAGGAGTCACACATCTGCCAAACTCATCAAAGTCCACACTTTAAATGGATGCAGTTTTTGTATGGAAATTAAACCTCAATTAACTTGATTAAAAAAATAAAATTCAAAGGCATCAAGGGGTGCCTTTCAGGAGTTCTTAGAAGAAAGGCATAAAATTTTTGATAGAATGAGTTTCCCTCGACTTTGATTGAAATTATACTGAATCTGTAGACTAATCCAAAGGGAATGACCATCATTCCAATAATAAGTCTTTCCATTTAGGGACATAGTAGGTCTTTTTCTACACTCTGGGACACTCTAAGCAGCATGATTATTATCTGATCCTTAAGAATCTGATAGATTTCACCCATTTAATAATCTCGACTGGGTGCCAGGGAAAGTCGGTGGGTGGTAACCATAGGTTTTCATGGTTAATAACAAGGGTGGGGTTTGTAATAAAATACCAGTTATTGTCAGGCACTAGTTCCTCTAAATAATCTTGAGACAAATGGTCTCCATTTAGTTTTTGGTTTTGCATCCGGTTCAGTCAAAATTTTAACATTTCTGTAGCAAATGCTCTTAACCAGTGCCGTGGATGGCCCACCTCCGTATAGCTTAGCCCACATCTGAGTTCACTGACAGCTGTGGCGGACATTTCCCATACAACCTGACAGCTTCCCACAGCCAGCTTTTGCTCCTCTCTGCTGTTTAGACTAAAGGCTTTTTCCAGCCCCACAGAAGCTTGCTTGGAGGGCAGTGTGGAAGCGCCAAGAAGTTGACATCTGCCGGGCAACTCAACCAAAATGAAACAGAAGCCAGGGGCAAATATCTCTGCTTCCCCATCCCTAGACAGGACAATTTGGATGCCATCTACATGATCTCTCAGAGGGTCCTGTGGAGTTAAGTAAATCAATCATGAAAGCATTCAATCTGGCTGGGCTCGTTGGCGCTCCTCTGTAATCCCAGGGGCTCGGGAGGCTGAAGCAGGAGGATCGAAAGTTCAAAGCCAGCCTGAGCAAAAGCGAGGTGCTAAGCAACTCAGTGAGACCCTGTCTATAAATAAAATACAAAATAGGGCTGGGGAATGTGGCTCAGTGGTCAATGCCCCCTGAATTCAATCCTTGGTACAAAAAAAAAAAAAAAAAAAAATCCCAAACTCCATCTACCCTCATAATCTCTCGTGCTTCCTGAAATCCCTTCCCAAGTAAACCACCTGCACCCAAATCCTTGTCTCAGGTTTGCTGTTAGTGGGTCCAAATAAAGATGGGCCACCAACATCCTTGTACTATTTCACTATGTTTATAACAAAATATATACAAAATAGGCACTTTCAAAAATATTTTTAATTGTAGACAGACACAATACCTTTATTTTATTTATTTTTATGTGGTGCTGAGGATCGAACCCGGTGCCTCACACGTGCCAGGCAAGCACTCTACCACTAAGCTACAACCCAAGCCCCTTGAAATAGGCATTTTAAGGATAAGGTAGAGATGAGATATTTAAAATAACTTATTAACAGTACAACCCTTTTGCTCTCACCCAAATGTTAATTATGATATTCTTAGTGAGTGGCAACGTGATTAAATATGCTACATTATTTTTCAAAAATTTTGATTAAACACTTTGTGATGCAGCAATTTGAAAGCCTGGCTCCAAATTCATTTTATTTTGATACTTGGTTTAATGGTTTTGAGAACTAAACAAGCAGTTCAGAAAGATATGTGGATCCAGATGGAGAAAGGGTCTCACTAAATCATGGTGCTCTCCAGTGACTATGCACCACGATCAACTTGTCATCTCTGCAAATATTTTGGTTAAAATCCAGCCAGCATGTATGAGTCTCCCCTGACATCAGTCTTCTTGAACAGTGATTGCAAAGAGTTGCATTTTTATACATTAGATAAATAGGATCCAAGCCCACCACAAAGGTGTATTTTATTAGTCTGGTTAAACAGGTGTATGCATTTGCCAAACTTCATTGAACTCCATTTAAAATGGTAAATTTTATTGTGATTTGGTACTTGATGGTGCTTCAAATGCTAATAAATAAACTTCAAGAAATTCCCAGAGAAATCCAAGGGGACCGAAGCTTCCAGGAAAATTCCTTCAGTTGCTAAAATGGTTCTCTCCTATCTTGAGTGAAGCAGAGTGTTCAGCTTTTGGGGCTAGGGAGGCCTTGCAAAACAGAGATAAGGCTGGACCACTGGGGAGTCTAAGGCAGAAATAAATCATCCTTCCAGGTATGTCTCTGATGACTCACTGCTTCCTTGTGGTGGTGTCAGCTGCCCTGACCCTGAAACCTGTTTCCCCTTGTGGATCCACCCAGTACCCCTAAGGGGAGAGGGCAGACCTGGGTTGCGTTGAGAGCAGGTGGAGGCTTGCCAAGCATGGGCAGGAAGCGCTGGGGTGTAATTTCTGCTGCACACCAGAAATCCAACCCTGCAAAACAGAACTCTGAAAGCCACACCTGCTCCCCTGCTCCCCTCTCCTCCTCAGCTTCCTGGAAGGGAAAAGTGGGACTTCCTTGTGGGTACCCCAGCTGTGGCTGCAGCAAAGCCTGGGGAGACAGGATGCTGCCCCAGCTTCAGGAGAAATTGCTTGACTTGAAATACTACCTTGATCTCATCAATGCAGGCTCATACCTTTCAAGAAAAATGAAAGCGCTGTCTCAGGCCTAATACCTGGGAGAGAGAGAGAGAGAGAGAGAGAGAGAGAGAGAGAGAGAGAGAGAGAGAGACATCAGCCTGCTCATCAGCTTTGGATCTAACGAGACTGAAAGAGTTGATCCACATTATCTGAAACTCATGGGTTAGCCATTGTTATGTCCATTTCACAGACAGAGACGCTGATTGCCTAATAATACCAAATGTTGGAGAAGAGGCA